AAAATTACAAGCCGGCGACTTCAGCGGGTGAGGGGATCGTGTGGTGATAATAAAGATGTTTGCAGGCGATGCTGAGGGATGCTTGCGTGGACATGAAGTATGCTTCTAGAGATGTCGGGATACTTTAGGAGATTGGCAGCAGGAATTGGCGGAAGATGCTGTGAGAGGATGCTTCAGTGCTGCGGGAAGGATTGTAACCTACACAACCGCGATAGTAGTAGTAGCATTGCTGCAGCAGCCAGCTAGTAGCATGCAGGCCCGCAAACATCAGCGAGGCATAGTTAGAGAGGAGAGTACAACCCCCCACGGTACTGCAGTAGCAGCCCAGCATAGCAGCAGCAACATCAGCCAGACAGCAACAGCATCAGTAGCCAGTACTAGCAGTAGCAGCCGTTGTGGTAATAGACAGGCTACGTGCCACAGCTGTCTCCTCCTCCTCGCCTCCTACACGCTCGGCAGCGCTTCACCTGCGCTCACGTTGCCACGTATAATTGGGAGATGATTTCAGTTGACGGAGCGTCACCGCGCTGGTTTTCCTTCCGCAAACTCGCTCGGCGACCGCGTATCTATTTTTTTGGTCGAATAATGCGCGCGCCATATGCGAGAGCGAGACTAAGCTGGCTATGCGCATACGTAATGCGCTGTGCTGTTTGCAACGTATAGAAGCAGAGAGCGGATAGAGTCCATAAGCATGCAACGCCCACGCAGCGCGCGGTGTTTGTCAGTTGTTAGCAAGGGGCATGTAACGCATGCTATCATACTCGCCTAATACACGCCCTCCGCCCGTGTGGTGCGTTTCCATTCATCGACCAGTTATAATTGTCGTAACTCTCTCATATGTCACTCTTTATTCGTTGACTGGTTTATTTGCTTTTTCTTCATTTATTCATGTCTGTTATTATTTATTTATTTATTTAGTTATTTGCTGTTCATATATTATACTATATATTTATTTAGTATATCTATAATGAACAACACAATAATAATAAATAAAAAATCAATAAAAATAAAATAAATATATGTATATATATTCAAATGTTAGCCCGCCATTACAAGCGCCTTAGAATACTATACATTTACAATGATGCGTTGCCGCTGAGTCTATTAAATTTACACTACGGCGCGGCGTCCACGCCAATACAGAAGCGCTGTACTGTACTAATCCAGTGACCACCAACCCTCCACCATCTGATTGACCACTATCTTCTTACTGACCGGTGTCTGCCAACTATCTCACCGATCTCCCACCGACCACTGACTGACCGCTGTCTGTGTGCGCGTGCTGTTGCAGGACATCAGAAAGGTAGGCCGTTGTTGAAGACCTTCCAGGGAGAGGTGGACGCGCTGTCGAAGAGAAGCAAGTCCGCCGAGGCCGCCTTCCTCTCCGTCTACAAGAAGCTCATCGACACGCCAGGTAGGGCTTCCCGATTCACTCTCCTCGGCAGCAGACGCGCCGCGAGCAGCAGCGACGGCGGTCGTGTCGTGACACTCCGTCTCTCATCATCGCTGCGGCACAGCGCGCGTGCGCTGGGCTGGGCCGACGACGTCGTATTGTGGTTTGATTCAGCAGTGTTCGACCTCATTGCAGCATCACAGTCCGAGGCCTTGTTGGGGGGACTAGGTGCTGGCGGTTAGCTGTTGTTGACGGTCTATGCTACGCGTTCTCTGCCATTGCTGGCCGGGGACGGTTTCGCGTGCGCAATTTGTGCATGTTCAATTACATTCGTGTATCCACAATCGGTCGCAAGGGAAAAAAAAATCGAAACGTAGGCGGCGAAGTAATAAGCCATAGCGAAATAAACTTCGCTGTCCATGCAGCGTGTGCTTCTAGGAATGGTGGGGGGGATGGTGGGGTGAGGGTGATACAGAAGGAAACGTAGCCAATCTAGGCACTGGGTGCGGTGAATGCGTTGTGTGGCTGTGTGTGTTGTGCGTGCGTGCGTTGCGTGCGCCTGCGTTGCGCTGCGTGCGTTGCGATGCTGCGCTCGCGTGTCTGTGCCGTGCCGTGCGTGGCCGTGCCGTGAGGGTTGCGGTTGTGTGCGTGCGTGTGTGGAGGCGGAGGACGCGTTACAGATATTTATCCTCAGTATGATATGCAAGCAACTCGGCAATGTTCTTTTCGCGACGTGATTTCTTTATGGTATGGCTGCTGACGCCGGAGGACAGCGGCGTCAATGTGTTTTACCTATGTAAGGTGACAGCGTGTCAATGTGCTTTACCTTTTTTTTCTTTTTTTTATAAGGTGATACAGGTGTCAATGTGTTTCTCTACCTATGTAAGGCGAGACAGCCGTGGTAAATGCGTTTACTTATATAAACGGTGATACAGGTGTCAATGTGTTTTACCTATTGTAATGGTGATACAGGTGCAATGCGTTTACCTTATTGTAACGGTGATACATAGTGTCAATGCGTTTCCTATGTAAGTGATACAGGTGTCAATGCGTTAACCTATGTAAGAGTGATACAGGGCGTGTCAATGTGTTTACCATATACAAGGTGATACATGTGTCAATGCGACCATATACAAAGCGTGATACAGGGGATCGCAATGCGTTTACCTATGTAAGGTTGATACAGGTGTCAATTGCGTTTACGCCTATTAGTGAACAGGTGTCAATGCCGCTTTAACCTACTGTAAGAGGCGAGAACAGGTGTAACAGGACCGTCTTTACCTTATATTAAGGTGATACATGTGTCAATTCGTTACCTATGTAAAGCGTGATACACGGTGTCATATTGTGTTTACCTCATGTAAAGGTGATACAGGTGTAAATGTTGTTTACCTATGTAAGGTGATTACAGGTGTTCAATGCTGTTTACCTATGTAAGGTGATACATGGTGTCATGCGATTTAACGATATAAGGTGATACAGGGTGTCAATGTGTTTTACCTATGTAAGGCTGATTACAGGTGTCCATGTGTTTACCTATGTCAAGGTGATACTCAGGTGTCAATGCGTTTACTCTATATAAGGTGATACAGGCGTCTCTGTCAATTCGTTTACCTATGTAAGGTGATAAGGTGTCAATGCGTTTACCTATATAAGGTGATACAGGTGTCAATGTTGTTTACCTATGCTAACGGTGATACAGCTGTCAATGGTTTACCTAATATAATGCGTGCATTACAGGGTGTCAATGTGTTTACCTATGGTAAGGTGCAGTACAGGTGGATTCAATGCGTGCATTTACCTATATAGCGCTGATACAGGGGTGTCATGCTGTTTACCTTATAAGGTTGATACACGGTGTCAATGCGTTTACCTATGTAAGGTGCATTACAGGTGGCTGTCAATGCCGTTTACCTATATAGTGGATACAGGTGTCAAATGCGTTTACCTATATATAGTGATACAGGTGTCAATGCCGTTTACTTATGGTAAGCGTGATACAGTTGTCAATGCGTTACCTATGTAAGGTTGATACAGCCCGTGTCAATGGCCGTTTTACCTATATAAGCGTGATAGCAGGCTGCTCAATGTGTTTAAGCCTTATTAAGGTCTGATTACAGCGTCAGGGTTCTCCCAGATGGAAATTCAAAACAGGGGGGAGGGGAGGGGTAGGGCGGGCGGAAGGGGGAGGGGCGGAAACTAGGGGTGTTACGCGGGCGTGTATCTTTTACCGTACGACTAATTAATGGCGTAAAATCGCCACACACCATAGACGGGTATTTGGCGGTTCTTGTATATTAAGATAGCCGGAGTCGGTGTTACATGTTAGTGACAGGTTAACTGATGCATGTCAGGCTTAATTGCATTACTGTATGGCAGTGCATGCGTGATACAGGTAAAGATACACGCGTCGGACTGTCCTAGCTCGAACAGGCAATTCTTGAGCGACTCGATTCCGGCGCTGCCAAACTTTTATTGTGGGTAGGAATTTCCACTAACGGCGGAGGTTAATTTAAACGGGGCGCACACGATTCAAACGGGGGGCCGAGATTTTCCAAACGCGGGCGGACGACCGCGCCCCGTTGCGCAACGTGGGTGAACCCTGCAGCCCGGCTGTAAATGGCGTTTACTATGTTAGCGTGATACAGCGTGTCAATGCAGTTTAACCTATGTAAGGTGATAAGGTGTCAATGCGTATTACCTAGACGTGATGCGCCGCCATGATGCCAAGACGAGCCCGAGGGATTGATCACTTTGTCGTCCTCCAATCACAGGCCTACGCGCACCTCCTTTGAAAATTTTTAGTACGGTGGGGACCCATACACGTACCAAATCGCCCGATCTCATGGAACTACGGGCATTCTGCCCAGGCTTTAGAACTGGTTTCCTACCGATAGAGTTTGCGCACAAAACGCAAAATAACACCGCCGTTTTAGCGCACTGCACCACGTTACTGTTGGCATTTTTCTCATCTCCGGTAATCAGAATAAGCCCCGCCTTCTCGCGTTGATGCATGTAATGCTGGGCGCGTCACCGACGCTGACCAGTTCCTATACGGACTGTGGTTTACTCTTCGTAAATAATGAAATGCCGGCGATGCTACACTGGTACCCGTTCGGCCTCCTTCACTCCGGCAAAATTATCCTTTGCTACACTGACGCTGTTAGCTGCTAGCGTGTGGAATTGTCGACGCGGTACCATGTCCTAGACGCATGCCAAACTGCATGCAGTGCACCTTCGTACACTCAGGCATACTCCGCTTAGATTGCAGGCCAGAGCGAGAGCCGCATCTGTCGTGGAGTTTGGGCCGATGCGATGCATTTCTTCGACGTTTTCTGCCCGTGATTATTATTGTTGCCGCGCAGGCACTCATTTCGAAATCCTCCACATTTTTACTTCTTCATTAAGTCCATGGTTTTACTGTTATTTAGGAAGGAAGGTAAAAACTGTGCATTCGTATAATTTCACTCTTGCTTCTATAGTATGATTTTCCATATTTTGCTCTTCCGCCATGTAATCATTTCCTCATGTCATGGCAACGCTACATTGCAGACTTCGGACTTCTTATCATATCGTTATAACCTTCTATATCATGACGATTAAAATCCCCTAAAGCGTATGAATATTTGCCGTGCATTTGTGATTACTTTGTTGCCTATTAATATATCTCTTCTCCTATCCTTTCTTTGTTGTGAATTTATAAACCATTGTATTTGGTTTTGCTTCATCATTAAATTCTAATCTTTCTGATTCAGCTCAATCTGGAGCATGACGTGAGCGATTTTTAGTTACTGTTTTATAATCTCCAATTCTTAGAATATGTCCAATATATAATCATTGTCATCTTCTAAAACTACAGACCATCGCTCGCAGCCGCTGTGGCAGACGTGCGCCGCCGGCCTCGAATTTGCGCGCACGTCTCCCACTACGTGGACAGCGCTTCATACTTTGAACATCCCGCTGTCTGCGTGCGCATATCCCGCGCGAATCTGCGCGTCTCATTCCGCTGCGCCAGCGCCGTCAGGCCATCCACATTCAAAAAGCTGCTGCCACGCCCAATCTTGTAATCATGTCTCTCTGTATGTGACGCGAGACAGGGTGCTTCAATGCGTTTACCATATATAAGGTGATACAGGTAGTCAATGCGTTTACCTCATGCTAAGGTGCATACACGCCGTGTCAATGCGTTTACCTATGTAGGTGCATACAGGTGTCAATGTGTTTACCTATATAGGTGCATACAGTAGTCAATTTCACTTGACCTATGTAAGGTGATACAGGCTTAGTCAATGCGTATTACTAATGTAAGGTTTGATACAGGCTGCTCAATTGTGTTTACCATATATAAGGTGATACAGGTGTCAACTTTACTTTACCTATGTAAGGCTGAGTACACGGATGTCTAATGCGTTTACCTATGTAGGTGATACAGGTGTCAATTGCGTTGTACCTAATGTAAGGTGATACTAGGTTGTCAATGCGTTTTACCTTATATAAGGCTGGCTACAGGTGTCAATGCGTTTACTATGTAAGGGTTGATACAGGTGTCCAATGCGCTTTACCTATTAAGTGGATACAGTGTGGTCAATTCATTTACCTATGGTAAGGTGGTTACAGCGTGTAAATGCACCGGTTACGTCTGTGATGGTGTGAGACAGATACGTTTGTTTACGTGTGTGATGTCAGACAGGTGTGTAATTTCAGGCAGGTGTAATCGCCTTTACCTCTGTGATGTCAGACAGATATGTCTGTTAACCTAGTCTATGATATGAGACAGGTGTAACCGCATTTACCTGTGTACTGTCAGATAGACAAGTCTGTAGGTGTAATGTAGGTGTAAATATGTTTACAGTAGTAGTAGTAATAGTGGCAACAGTAGCAGCAGCAACAGTAGTAGTGGTGGGGTTGGTGGTGGCGGCGGCAGCGGCAGTAGCGGCAGCAGCAACAGCAGCAGCATCAGCAGCAGCAGCAGACTGATGCGAACATATCCCGCCACTAGTATACACCGAGAGCCAGTTTTT